GCAGGCTTTACAAGCTGAGATTCTTTTCCTTTTTTTTATAGAGAAAAAAAGAAAAAATCATCTGGACTCCATTATTTTGCGGAAATCGCAACAACTTGATTTTGGAGAATCCCCTTTGAAGACATACGACGCTCCACTCACATATATGTCATGAACATTCACATGTTGCATTGTAGGTCATGACGCATAAATAGAGGAGGATTAGGGAGGGACTGAAGGGGTGTCACTGTATTTGTTTCCTTTTTTTTAACAATGCGGCCGTCTTCGTTTTTTTTTTTTTCTTAACCCCCAAAAAGGTCACATTTTAATATGCTGGGAAACAGCCCGAGCGTCCTGACCCTGCAGAGGGGCCCGACGGTCGAAAAAGACGACTGGGTGGTTAAATATTCAGACTTGCCCCGCCCCCTCGTCATCTTTAAAGTCAAAAACAATGTGGATGGTGCCTGTGCGTTGGAAGGCTATAAACCACAAGTGCCTGGGGCGAGGTTTTCCAAACGAACAAAGAATGACGACCTGGACTCCATACATGGGTGGGCAGGTCTGATGCAGGTAAGGGTGGTAGGAGATTCACAAAACGGCCACCACACATTCACAAAATGGCCATCACACATTTCAGACAGCCACGCCCGTGGCCAAGCTCCCCTTTGACCCGGCTGAGTGGCCTGGCACTCGACCTATGCAAATATGGGAGTATACAGTCAAAGAGGGATACAGAGCATCGCGACAAGACCAGCTAATCAACAACACAATTGCGGATAGATGGGCACGGGACTCGCCGCTCGAACCAAAACTGTCACAGTCTTTCACCTGGTCCAGTTTCGCGAAGATCATGCCAACAAACCACAGGTCTCTGCAGTGGCACATCCTGCACCTCTGCCTCCCCACCCCTCAATGGCTTGTCTGCAAAACAAATCTGGAACAGAAAAGGGAGCTGTCTCCCATCTGTGCATATTGCACAAGAACTCAGATGCCGGCCCCTGCGACCCTCGAGCACTGCCTGCTGGCATGTCCAATGGTCACCCAACTGTGGCAGTGGTGAGACGCTGCCTTCCATTCCCTCACGGGTTATCATATCCCCTGGGATGTTCGTCTTCTGCTCCTGGGAGACAACTGCCGCCTGCAGGCACACTGGTCCCCATTTGCGACCAATCCGTTCTCGTACACACGGTTGCACATCCTCATGCTCTCTTGGAGAGTCAGATTTTCCTTTGAAAGAAAGGAGCACGGATTCGGCCTGCAACATGCAAAACAAGCAATCGAAGAACAGATCAGGACCAGGACCCGAGAAGCATGGAAGTCGACGAAAAGCGACCTTCTCGAGGAGAAAGACACCACCGCCATGCAAGCAATCCGAGACTCCTACATGCTGATCTGGCAGGATCCTAACAGAGTATTCTCTGAACTGGATGCCACCCTCAACATCACGTGGAAACCATGGAGGAACACGGAATCCAGATGGCAAAGGAGACCCTTCTCCGAATTCCAAGTCCCTTACCTCCAACACAACTTTGTCCTCCTCTCGTCTCCTCAACCATAACATGTTTGGGCCCGCCTTCCCATCCACCTCTTCCCCCCTGCCCCCCCTCATCTTCCCTTCCCTGCCCGCCTTCCCTTCCTTTACCTTACCCCCCCCTCCACCCTCCCCTCACCTTTTTTTTTGTTTTTTTTGTTTTTGTTTTGAGAACAGAGGCTCCATCTATTGGTGGGGAGCAGCACCTGCTGGAAACAGGGTCCAGCATCCCTTTTACATAAAAGGTTTGGAAAGAATTTGGAAGAAGGTTTGTAAGATTCAGAACCCACCCGGTTTCCAGCATTTTGGCGTCACCTCATTGATGTACCTGTCTCTTATACACATCTAGATGTGTATAAGAGACAGGCTCTGCCTCCATTTTTCTTTAATCTTTTTTTCAAAAAAAAAAAAAAAAAAAAAAAAAAAAAAAGGGGGAAAGGAAGGAAAAGAGAAAATATATAAATGGGAAGAAGAGAAAGGGAAAGAGGAGAAGGAGAGGGAAGGTAAAGGGAAATGAAACTGACAGGTGAGGGAACGAGGAAGGATAAGAAGGCATTAAAGGAGGAAGCAGAAGGGGCAGTGAAACAAGGAAAGGTGAGCATCTCATATTACAAGGAAGGATCCGTGGAGCGACAATCATAACCTCCCCGGGATTACTTCCACCTCCCCGTCACAACGCAATCATTCCTTCCCCATAACGTAACAGTATCTCCTCACTTCTCCTCCCCCCATGTCATCCTAATTACTCCGCTCAATTTCTCCCTCCTGACTCCGCATTACAGGTTATCACAATTTCCCGACACTATACTACCAAATGCGCAAAACTAAACACGCGTTTTAATTAGTTCTTTAGTAAGAAAGCAGAGAAGGGAATGAAGGGAGGACCATGTCACACTCCACGATACCCGTCGCTATCCGCAACAAAGAATCACTAAGACAATAGCCACCGCTAGATCGAGGAGGAAAGGAACTCCTATCTCCCTCCTCAAATGTCCCGAAAAAAAAAAAAAAAAAAAAAAAAAAAAAAAAAAAAAAAAAAAAAGAAAAAAAAAAAAAAAAAAAACCGAAAGGAAAGGGAAAAAAAAAAATAAAAAAATCCTGTCTTAGCTTGACAGAGCAACCTCGTTTTTCCACTATCGCGCTGAACTAATATCAATCTCACGCTTTAAAAAAAAAAAAATGGAGGAAGGAAGGGATAGAATAAAAAGTAAAACGGGGAAGAACATGGAAGAAGGTGGGAAATCACACTAAGTATCTAACACGGACACTGATACCCACATTGAATGTCCGTTCAAACTTTTCAACCAAGCTTTAAAGGAAGGCATCATCGCCATCAATCAGTAGAACACATCAAGAGTAAAAGGGGACGCTATTCCTGTATGACCACTCAAAAAAAAAAAAAAAAAAAAAAAGGAAAAAAAAAAAAAAAAAAAAAAAAAAGGAAAAAAAAAAAAGGAAAAAAGGGGGGGAGGAAAGGAAGAAAAGGGAAGAGAAGAAGAGGGGAAAGGGGGGAAGGAAGGAAAATTGGTGCAAAGAAGGTGGTCAATCATGTTACGCCTCAATTATGGCTACTGTTATCCGCATCGGACAACTCTATCAGCTTCACAACCAACGCCTAATCAACAACGATACCAGGATTTATCACCATCAAACAGTCAGATGCATCATCAGAAGACAACGATTTTCTTACGTAACCAATCACATGCGGCCATATAGGACCTGTCCACTCATCTTCGTATCAATATCACAAGGGTAACCATCTAACACGGACTCTGTTAACGTCATTGAATGTTTATCCAAACTTGTATTATAAGTCTAATCAGAGGGGAAGGATCATCGCCATCAGTTGCTAGAATGTATTCTTATGACCACTCTTAGCGGCCATAAGGACTACCCAAGACCTGCAAGGCCGTCCTGTCCAGATTTGACAGGTAATTGAATTGGTTGGGCTTAAAGAATTAGCCTTTATAAGAAAAGGAAAAAAAAAAAAAAATGTCGTATGATCCAGGCACTCCGGCCTGGTTCATACGACGGCTGCTTTAGAATTATAAAAGCCGAGAAATGGGCCCGGCATCCCTCACATCACAGAAAAGGTTCAACACACACGCACACATATCCTGTTCTAATAACCCAAGTTAACCCTAATCTGCCAATATTCAATCCTGCCTAAACTACTCATCAAGTACCTTCATCTGGATTCGAACTTGGGTCTGTATGTCAACAGTTCATGGGTGTACCCACTGAGCTAGGTTCCCAGGACTGTTCCAAATAAAATAGAATAAGGTGAGGTCGAAGATGATGCCAGATCTCATGAGAGTGAGTCAGGAAGGTGGGCCGCAGGCCCACACACCGCCGGAAAATCGAGGGCGGGTGGGGCCGCTCCGCCAAAAAGGCGAGGAGAATCGACTCACACTCCGAAGGACCTGACCCCTTGTGTGCCTGCGCAGGTTTGCATATGCGATGAGTGTTGTGGGCGGACGCAACCTGGAAGGCGCAGCACGGGAGCAAACACAAGCTGTGGTGACAGGCCAGAGCCCTGTCACTTATACTGTATCTGGCCAAGGCAGTGGGACCACTCGGGTTGGCGAGACCATTCTTCAACCTGGGTGAGTGTCACGCTTTCCACTGGGATTCCATAGGACAAAAATAGTCCTCCGTAGATGCTGCGAAATTAGCTGAATGTCGTTCATCTTGGAAAAAATCTGACATCTGAAAATAAATTCTTGCGGAGTCATAGATTGTGGAATTGCATGGCTGAGATCGCAGATGATTCAGATCCCCAGGACTTGAACCAACCGGAGGTGCCAACCAGAAAACCGAACGGTTGGGTCCGAAACTGTTTCTGCAAACCCCTTGAATTATCAGGCCCCCTCTTGACTTGGCACGTTGCTTCCCAGGACTGTTCCAAATAAAATAGAATAAGGTGAGGCCGAAGATGATGCCAGATCTCATGAGAGTGAGTCAGGAAGGTGGGCCGTAGGCCCGCACACCTCCTAACCTGTCCCACATCCCTCCATCGTCCCGCAAGTGACTCCGTCGTCTTGCAGGGAATGGTGGAACGAGCGAATGAGTGATGGCGGTTGGAGGCAGAAGCGAGCGACTCCCGTGGTTGAAGGAGCATACACAGCAGGTCTTGAATAAAGTAGTGCCATAATCAGTGAGTTTGGAGCTGGAAGGCGATGAAAGAATGGAATGAAGAAGATGCTGCTTGCCTTGAATGAATGACTTGAACGTAATGAAGTTGGAAGAAGTTGCATGAGCTGCTGCGATCTTGACATCTTGTCGTTCCTGAGTGGCCAATGGTTGGTTGAAATCGAGAGTTGATGCCGAACTTCAGACGCAGAGGGTCTTCCGATAGTGTCACCTTCCACAATTGATGTCGTGGTAAACTGCTTGAGTGGGTGTTTCCAGCTATTAGGTAGGGAGGGTGAGAATGATCCATGTCAGAGCAGTAGGGTGAAGGTGTTTAGGCGATCGTATCGGGAGTATAGTTTACAGAGAGGCGTAATTGATGAATCTGCTCGTTCAATGCAGTGAAAAAAACTGCAAGTAGTGATAAAGTATATACGAGAAGAAGTAAAGGTTATGAAGGGTTATACAGAGGCACAGGCTTATCGAGATGGTGGTGCATTTCTTTATTTGTGGGAGAGTTGGCAGCGATGTGGGGAGGGGTTGAGGCTTCAGTATAAGGAGATTGATATTGAGCGTGGAGTTGTGTGTCCTGTGTACACGAAGACCAACTGGCAAGGCAGAAGGTTTATGATACAGTTGCGTGATCCAAGAAGTGAGGAGGAGACGTTTCTGGGATGGTTGCCAGAGATGATGGCTAGTTATGAGCGTGTGGGCCAGGATTTGCGAAGTGGTTATCTGTTCGGACCGGTGCGCGGGGATGGACCAATGAGTGGGGGGGGATTTAATAAGCGGATAGAGAAGTGGTTTGAAGCAGTTGGGGTGTTTGAGGGGGAGAGTGGTCATAGTTTTCGGATAGGTGAGGTGCAAGCGGGAATAGAGGAAGGCTGGAGTTTGGGAGAGATGATGCGACAGAGCACGTGGAGTCAGGTGGGTACCTTTATGCGTTATGGGTATAGGATAAAGCGGGGGTGGAAGCGGAAGAGTGAGGGACAATTAAGGGAGGACGAAGATTGTCGTCAAGCCAAGGACTTCAAGGTTGGGGCGAGGCTGCTGACGGGGGGGCTGGGGAGGCAAGAGAAAGGGGAGGTGGCGATAGTGAATCGATCAATAATGTTGAGCTCGAGGATACGGGGATACCAGGAGGTCTTCTTGGAGTCGGGTAAGATGAGGAGGTAAGGAGCAGGGCTAGCACTTATCTTAGAGAGTACCTGATGAAGGAGCACAGTAGGAGGGAAAACATATTTGTAGGGGAGGGAAGGTAGTGAATTCCAATCAAGAGAGAGAGCGTCGATAAGGGAAGCCTTTACTGATCAGTCTCTTGAGATGAAAGTAGGGCAGACATGGTGGAAATCAGATGCCAAGAGGTCTATAACTGGTAATCCAAGTTTTGAGAAGATGGTACACTTGATGTGATTGGCAAGACCCCAATTTGTATTATCCTCTGTTTTTTAGAGTGAATCAACGTCTGGATTGAGGGATCTGGGAATCCAAATTGGGTACGGTATCCCATCAAAGGAAATTAGGAAAGAGGCTATATCCCTTAGCCAGAGGTTGAAATCCTGATGAGTGGATTTCATCTTGGAGAGGAGGTGTGAGGTGGCTTGACTGTCCGTATGAAGTCTGATAGAGGCGGAGTGAAGGAGGTGAGGATAAGAGGTGGCAAGAAATACAAAGGTTTCAAGGATTGCAAAGAGTTCTCTATGAGTGGAAGAAGATTGAAGAAGGTGAGGTGGGAGACATTGTTTTAGAGAGAGTGTTTGCACGTTCATGGGGTGGATGATTGTTGCATTGGAGAGCAGAGGCGTTAGCGAAAATTGAAAGTGTTGGGGGGGTGAACGGTCCAGAGTCTTCCTGGGAGGTGTGGTAGGTGAGTAACCTACCAGAGAAGGTCATTGACGAGGTCGGAGGAAATCGTTACTGGAAAATCCCAGTTAGATGGAGAGATGGTGTCATATAGTGAGGAGAGATACAAAAGGGTGGGGAGGAAGGCTCTCGCAAGTGATGCTAACTTACCGGCGAGTTTGGCAAAAGTTATGCTAGAGTTGATGGAATTGGGGTCCTGAATAAGGTGGAGAATCTTCTTGGCGGGAAAGAGCATTTATGAAGACTAACGAAAAAACCAAGGTTGTGCAGGAGGGCAACATAATTGAAGGTTTGCTAGATAAGAGTTGACATGTTAGTGTGGCCAAGCGTTGAGTCGTCAATATATGAGGCAATATGGACCTTGCGGCGGCGAATTTCTGCCATTACTTCCTGCATGATTGTTGTGAAAATCCAGCATGCCGATGAGATGCCGAAGCAGAGAGTTGTAAATTGGTAGGTCGTGTCGTTCCATTGGAAAACTAGGTAGGGATGAAAAAGTGGGTGGACGGGGATGTGGTAGTAGTCGTTCTTTATGTCGAAGCAGGTGAGGAAGTCTTGCGTAGGTGAACCGAATAGGTGTGCGGTTAGGTCGTCGATCATTTCGTAGTGAAAATTTGGGAAGGTGACAAACAAGTTGACAAAGCGTACGTCAAGAATGAATCTTGTCTTAGATGAACTGTCGATTGCGAATACAGGGTTAATAACGACAGGGTTGAGAGAGGGTTCTATGACCTTTGAAGAGAGTAGTTGAGTTATAGTTGAGGAGATGAAGTCGCAGTGATGAGGTGGGTGGCTATGGTTAGGGATACGGAGTGGAGGGGGTGAAGTGTGACTCAAAGCTTTTTTAAAAGAAGAGGCAGGGAGTACCTTCCTTACCATCCGGCGGACCTCTATGATCTTTGAGGTTGGGATATGTGATGTACCTTTAAACTGAAGTCGAACACCGTGTTGGATCCATTGGTGAACAAAATGGGAGAATCTTCTAGAGCTGGAGGAGAGAAGTAGAGACCAGTTAGAAAAGCGGTGAGATGTTGAGGCTGCAAAGAAGTTATCAGGGTTGCGGAGCTAAGAGGCGGGTTCCTGAAGAGCGAAAAGGGCCAAGCGGAGATCCTGAGAAGAAGGGGTGGTTGAGAGATTGCTGAAAATCGTTGGGATGGAGGGAATCGGGAAGGGGGAACTAGGTTCCTGATCAGGCAGAGTTTTTGGGTGTGGTATGAGTTTGGTCATGCTGGTCAGTGAAAGTCTTCTTGGAAGCGCGAAAGTAGTCATAGTCTCGGTCCTTGTCATCCTCGTATGGCGCTTGGAGGAATATGACTTCTTCTGATCATCAGACATGGAATGTTCCTCCTTCTTGCGATAAGAAGATGTGTCAACTTCATATATTCCCAACCTGCATAAAACAGAGAAAGGAAGATAAACCCTTGTACGCAAATGGCGTGGACTTATTTACAGTCCAGGGCGATAAATTTGATAAATCGGGGCGACGGCCCCTTACTTACCTGTGAGCTTCCTTGCGGACGATGCTCATGCAGTAGTTGAACTCAGAGTTGATTAGCGGAAGTGCCTTGTCCATGCCTTCTCTCATGATCTTGGACAGTTGGGACTTCATTTCCTTCGTGATGCGGGAATCAAGGCAATCCTTGGCGATGGCGGCAACTCTAGAACCGAAATGAGAGGCCACAAATTTCCCGATAGGATAATAAGAGTAGTTCATGCTGACTGCCAGAAAGCGGATATAGGCTTCGATCTGGGAATGATAACAAGGAGATACGAATAGCTTCTTCCAGGCAGATAACTCTTCGTATGCCGGTTGCGACTTTCCGTTTAGCTTGCCCAGAGTACCATCCATTTTCGAATAGATCTTTTGGTACAACTGAGTGAGTGTTTGATTCTCTTCGTCGCGTTGAAGCAACTACTCCTAAAGCTTCTGAATGGATAGGCGATTCTCTTCCTCCTTGAGGAGTAACTGGTGCTTGAGTTGCTGGAAGGCTTCAATAGTGACTGGTGCAGGACGGTTAGATGAGGAGGAGCATAGATTCGAAGAGTTGAGAAGGGGTGGGGGAGTAGATGTGATAAGGGGGGGTGGAGAGGTAGGAAGGGGGGGTTGCGGGGGAGGGGGAGGGATTGGGTTCTTCATCTTGATTGCGAGAGCATGGACTTTGTATAATTGATCAGAATTTTCAGGTTGAATAGTGAAAAGAAGATCGGAGATGTCGTGGGCGAGGGGGTTCAGACAATCGATGATCTTGGCTTGAGAGAAGGCGGGGGGAAGTACAGGAAGGACAACGTAGACCTCAGCTCCGATGACAGACTGGGGGCCAGAGGCAACTAGAAAAGTTTTCAACCAGTGATCCATCTGCACAGTAAAATATTTTAAAATTAAAATCTGGTTGTGAAATGGATGAGAAGTAAGAAACATTATTAAGATTTAAATTTTGGTTATGATGGTGCAGTTATAAATGTCGTTAAAATTGAATATGGCCCAAAGTGGAAAGAGAGTATTCTTCATCTTCTTCCTCTCAGTCCACCATCTTCTCCTTCCCCTCTCAACATCTGACTTCATTGCATCTGCAGACTACGAGAGAGAGAGAGAGAGAGAGAGAGGGAAAGGAGTAGAGTTAATCAAGGTTGAGTGGGGATGACGAGTGAAGGGGTCGACGATAGTTGGGACAGTCATGTACGGTGGTCTTTAGGAGCAGAAGTGATCCTGCTGTGTCAAGTCGGTTGTAGTACGGGAGTGTATGGTAGAGTAGGCTGGACACGCATAAAGTTACTACTGTTTAATGCCCATTGGAGATGTCGTGATACATTTGTGATAGTTTCGTAATTTGGTTTCTGTATATCGTTCACGCTCATGCGTCTTGCATATTATTATCATCATGATTATTATTATTATTATTATTATTATTATTATTATTATTATTATTATTATTATTATTATTATTATTATCACTATCATTTTGTTCATAAAGTTACTACTGTTTAATGGCATGCTTATAACCCTTGCAGGCAGACACAGTAGGAAGAAGTGAGTGATAGAGTAGCGAAGAAGACTTACCAGTTCCACGCCCACAGTCGACAAAGACAATAGCAGAGGTACGTGAGAATGAAAATACGATCTGCAGAAGTCAGATTATAAGAGGAGAGGATAATAAGTTCCTTTCTCCATTTGTGAAGAATGGGTAATGATAATCTCCTTCCTGGTCCGTTGTAGAGGTTCGTCCTAGCTCCCTTGTACCTTCTTTTTCCTTGTTCGTTTTCTTTACCTCTCCTTTCTCTTGATTTGCTTCCTTATTTTCTTTCTCTCCTTATCCCCCTTTTTCCTTCCTTTTTTTTTTTTTTTTTTTTTTTTAAATGAGTTTTATAGATGCATTAGCTGCATCCTTAATGTTTTTCCCCTTTATCTCTTGCATTCCTGGCTTCTTGCTTGCTTACTCTTCTTCTTCGACCCTTGTTTATTGCTTCCTCTTCCCTTTCTTTTGTGTGCACATACTAGCTCTCTCCTTGCTGTTCTCCCTTCTTCCTTACTTCTTCTTCTTCTTATTCTGCTTCTCTTTCTCTTCTTACCTTCCTCTTCTTCTCTTCCCTCTTTCCTCTTTCTCCTTCCTCACCTTTTCTTTCCCCCCTCTTCCTTTTTCTTCCTTTTCTTCCTTCCTTTGATTGCGTTGGTGTGTTGATCGATCTTGCTTCCTTGGTTCCGTTGACATGTGATTCCTGGTGTTATTGGTTCGTTGGTTCGTTGCATGATCCTTCCTTTTTGGGTCCGAACAAGTACTGATGTTTTGTCCTTCCTCCATCTGGCTGTTGTGGTTGACCCCCGTCTCATCTGATCATCTCATTATTCATTTATTTTCAGTGCCCGGTGGGGCTATAATCGTAGTGTAGACCCTCCTTCTGTTCCTTTCCTTGTTTCTAACTTACTCTTGCTCCCTTTTTTGCTTGTGACCCTTGTGATCTCGTCTCTTTTCTTCCCCCCTTCCTCTTTTCCTTCCTTCCCTTTCTTCCTTCCTTCCCCTCTCTCCCTTTTCCTTCTTTTTTTTTTTTTTTTTTTTTTTTTGTTTACCATCCCTTGTCTGTTTACCTTGTAATTGATCCTCGATCCTTCTCGTTGTGCC